AAAAAAAAAAAGAAAAAAAACGAAAAATGAAACTCTGAACCCTAAACCCTAAACCCCTAAACCCTAAACCCTAAACCCTAAACCCTAAACCCTAAACCCTAAACCCCTAAACCCTAAACCCTAAACTTCTGGTTCCCCTTTAGAAACCCTAAACGCCTGAAGCTCTGAAACCCTTGTCTGACAAACTCTCAGCGAGGCGATGCCCGAGAGTCTTGGCCCTCAGTCGGTGGGTGCCTTGCCTACGCCGGTCACAGCGCCGCCCTTGACGAAGGTGCCGCCTGGGGTTTCGGGAAGACTTCTGCAGGTTTAGGGGTTTCGGGGTTTCGGGTTTCAGGGTTTGGGGGTTTGGAGTTTTAGGGTTTAGGGTTTCAGGGTTTGGGGGTTTGGGTTTCAGGGCTTCAGTTAGGGTTTAGGGTGTAGAGTTTCAGGGGTTTAGTGTTTCGGGTTTTGGGGTTCAGGGTTTAGGGTTTCGGTCTTCAGGGATTTCGGGTTTCGGGTTCAGGGTTTCAGGATTTCAGGGTTTCAGCGTTCAGGGGCCGGGGGGCCGCATCGTGCCGCGTTACAGAGCTTCACGGATGGACGAAGACTACCAGTTTTTGGGTTTAGGGGGTTTAGGGTTTAGGGTTTAGGGCTCCTCTAAACTTTTCGACATAAGAAGCCCTGAAGCCTAAGCCCTGCAAAATTTGCCGTTTCGAGGCATTCCAAGGAGTTTTGTCCATCGACATAGAACCCTAGATGCTAAAGCCGCCTAAACCGTACCCCCTAAACCCTAAATCTAAGGTTAGAAGTATGGCCCCTAATATGGACCCTTAGGCCTTTTTAGGGACCCTTAAAGGTACATATTGGGTATATAGCAGGTGTACAAGGATCCAGGGTTAAGGGCCCTTACTAGGGGCCCATGGTTTCAACCTTAGACGAACCCCATGGGCCCGAAGAGAGACACCCAACACCTCAAGCAGGTGATGCCTGTGAGTCTGATTGCCTTGCCGAGCTCAGTCACACAACCGCCAATTTCGAAGGTGCCGGGTTTCGGGAGCCCTTCAGCAAGAAACGAAGCTTTTCCGGCTTCAGGGTTTAGACCCTAAACCCTAAACCCTCAACCCTAAACCCTAACCCCTAAACCCTAAACGCTAAACCCGGTTTAGGGTTTAGGGTTTCTGGTGTTTCTAGCTGGGGCTGGGGTTCGAATCTGGTTTTTAGGTCGTGGTTGTGGCGCCTCCCTCTTTCTTGGTCTCTCGCATACTTACTATCAACTTAGTGGCTGAAGTACTCCACTTTAAGCTTTTTGGGATAATCATATGACCCCTTATGGAACTGAAAGCGTGCACTTTCTTGTGAAAATGAACTCAGCAACTAAGTTGAAGGAGGTGTCTGATGCCTTCTACCCCTCTTCGGACCCGACCCAGGAGTTGTGAAGAGGCCCGTGTGCAAAGTTCTTCGCCACAAGACTTCTGAGCCCTAAACCCTCAACCCT